TTTTTTTTTTTTAAAAGTTAAAAAAAAAAAAAAAAAAAAAAAAAAAAAAATGATATTTAATCAATAAACAAGAAAAATGATTTAATTTCTTTTTCATTTTTATTATTATTCATTAATTTACTTTTTTAAAATCTATCATTTTTTAAATATCGGATAGATAATATATCGATCCATTAAACATATCAAAAGATAGAAATATATCAAAAAAAAAAAAATAAAGGTTTTTTTTTTTTTTATTTTTTTAATGCATCAAAGGAATAATTGCATGTAAAAAATTTTGATGTTCAAAAGACAATTAACTTTTTGTTCGAATGAAAACTATAAGTTAAAAAAAATTTCTTATAATTTTTTTATAAATACAAAATAAAAAAAAAAATTATATATATTTATAATGATGTTTTCTTACATAAGTAGTTTTTGAAGTTTTTTTCTTAAAATATGCTAGACATATAGAAAATTTAAAATACATATATAATGTGCATATATAATAATTTTTGCGAAAAAGAATATTGCATTTATTTATTCATTTTTACTATAAAATTGTAGTGCACTTAAATATATAAAGTATAAAAAATATGTGGTTTAGCTTTTTTTCATTTTATTAGTGTACATTTTTCTTTCCGTATAGCATATTTTTGAAATGATAAAAAGATATAAGGAAAAAAAAAATTAAAAAAGAAAAGGATTCAAAGAATATTTCACAATGCTATAAAAAAACAAAAAAAAAAAAAACATTTTCTTATTATTTTTATTTTTTATCTTTAATTACTTTAATTTCTTCATTTTTTTTTGTTTTGTGTAATTTTTAAAAAAGTAAAAAAGAGATAACATAATGAAGAATAAATAAAAGAATTTAAATAAAACATAAAAAATTTCAAAATAATCATAACTTTATAAAAAAAAAAAAATAGAAAAAGAAAAAGTGTGTAATCATTATTAAAAATATTTAAGAGAAAAAAAAAAAAAATTCCTTCATAATTATTTTATTTTATTTTTTTTTTTTTTGTTCTATTATTTCTATTCATTTTTATTTCCTTGCGCTTTTTTTTAAATTTCTAGTATTACATTATTTTGTATCTTATACTATTTAATTTTATTTTTACATTTTTTAATATATATTTTATTTATCATTCTTACAATAAATATATATATTTATTTCATAACTTTTGTTTTTTTTTTTTTTTCCTCTTCTATATCTTCTTCTATTTTATCTTTATCTTTATCTTTTGTTTTTTTATCTTCTTCCATTTTTTTTTTCCATTCTAAAGCTCTTTGTAATATTTTCATATTCTACAAAAAAAAAAAAAAAAAAAAAAAAAAAAAAAAAATTAAAAAGGTTCAAAATAGCTATTTAAAAAAAAAAAATTGTAATTATTGTTACTTGTGATTGGGTTCCATCATCAGGAAAGACATATGTAATGAATTCTTCAACTGTTTCATCATCTTTATTCTTAATAATTTTTCTTTTTTTAACTTTTTTTGGTAATCTTTTTAAAGTTTTTTCTATAATTTCATTATCACCATAATCTTTTTCAATATCATATAAGAAATTTAATAAAACACACCTTTCATTAATTAATTCATTTTTTTTACAAAATTCAATTCCATTCTCTAATATTTCTCTGCATTTTTTAATATCATCATAATAAATATATTCAAATTCTGCATAACTTTTATAAACCTATAGAAAAAGTATAAAAAAAAAAAAAAATAAATAAAATAATGAAATCAAATTTGACATAATTTCATTCATATAATTACCTTATAATGTTGTGTTATATTTAATAATCTCTCATATAATTTTTCTGCTTTTTCATATTCTTGTAAATTAATTTCCATATCTATATAATTTTTCCATATCTAAAAAAAAGAAAATGATTTTTTTATATTAATAAAACAATAACATGGGAAAATAAAGAATAATTATAAGAATATTAAAAAAAGAAAATGATTTTTTTATATTAATAAAACAATAACATAGGAAAATGAAGAATAATTATAAGAATATTAAAAAAATAAAATTATTTTTGCAGATAAAAAATATATACCAGTTCAGGTAATTTCATGTCATCTAAATGTATTGCAATTTCTGCAATTTGTCTAGCTCTATTAATTTCATCTAACGATAACTCAAAATTAATCATAGAAATCCATGCCTATAAAAGTTGTTATAATATTATTTAAAATTAACAATAACATATATTAAATTATATAAAGTAATAGAATTAAATATATTCTCATAACATTATATAACTAATTTTATAATGAAATGAATTTTTTTTTTTTTTTTTTTTTTTTTTTTTTTTACTTTTGAGTTAAAAGGAAAAGTTTCAACATATTTTGCATATATTTTTCTGCATTCTTTAATATTTCCTAAACGTAATTCTATTTCACAGTATTCTTCAAAAATTTTTTCTTTTTTAACTTTTTCTAAAGCATTATTATAAATAGATCTAGCTTTCTGAATATCTAATTGCCTTATTTCAAAATTAGCATATAAAATATAAATTTTTTTAAAAGTAAAATTTTGATTACTTAAAATTTTTAAAATATTTTTATAAACATTTCTAGCTCTTTCTATATTTTCTGCATATAATTCTTCAAATACAGAATAATTTATCCAAAGATAAATATATCGTTTCCAAAATTTTTTGTTTGGTATTAAGGGTATAACACTAATTGCTCTTTCATATAATTCTCTTATTCTAATTAATGATTTTTCTTTATTAATAACATTAATGTTAGATTCTTCTAATTTTATATAATTAAACCATATATCATAATCATTTGGAGTTTTTTTTAATTCATCTTCATAATAAATCCTTTCTTTTAATAATAATGTTTGATCTAATTCATCCTTATTTGCATATTTTTTCTGAAACTGAAGAAAATTTTTATATAAAAGAGTGCTTTTGTTTTTTGGTAATCTTTTTAATGCTTCTATATAAATTTTTCTACATCTTTCATATTCATTATTTTCTTCTTCAAAATGACAAAAATAAATATAAAAATTTTCATCTATGAAAGAAGATGGTAATAATTCTATACATTTTTCAAAACATGCTCTAGCTCTTTCAATATTTTTATATTTTTTTTCAAACTTAATAAATTTATAAAAGCATTCTAATTTGGGTATTTTAACAATAAGCTTTTCAAAAATTTCTCTACATTTATTTATTTCTTTACATCTCTCTTCAAAATTAATATAACATAAAAATGAAGTTTCATCTATATTCCATTTAATCCATCTTTCATATATATTTCTTGCATTTATAAAATTATTTAATATTTCTTCTAAATGTGCATATTTTTTCCAAAATATATTTTCTAATGGTAATAATAAAACTACTCTTTCTAATAAATTCCTAGCACTATTTATATTTTTATTTGTTAATTCTACTTCAATATATTTTAACCATAAATTTTTATTTGTATAATCTATATTTAATGCTCTTTCAAAAATAGATCGACCTCTTCTAATATCTTTTTGTTTAATTTCCCAAAGAGCATATTTTATATAAGTACTTATTAAATACCTCCTTTTTCTTATTTTATCTTCAAATTCTTTTCTTTTACTTATTTTATATTCATTTAATTCATCTTCATCTATTAAATTATAATTTACTTTTTTCTCAACTTCCTCTAAATCTAATGCCTCATTTATTAATTGTTCTGCTGTTATTTGAATATCTGCTGCATTTTTATTTTTCACCTAAAATAAAATATAAGTTATATATATTTTTTATAATTCATTTAAACATTTAAACATTTAAACTTTTATATATTTATATATTTATTTAAACATTTATATATTTATATATTTATATAATTATATATTTATATATTTATATATTTATTTTCATCTACGCATAATATAACTATTCTTTTTTTTCATTATATTTATATAAAATAATTGTATATTTTCTTTTTTTTTTCTTTATATATTACCAGCAGTTTCTTGCTATTTATATTCATATTTTCATAAAAATAATATTACTTAAATCACATATTTAAATAAAATTAAATAAATTAAATAAACAAATATATATATATATATATATATATTTTTTTATATTTCTATAAATGTGTCATCTAAATAGATATTGAACTTTATATCAAACTAATTAAAATATAAAATTATTTAAAATAGTAATTTTCAATAAAATTTTAAGATATATTTAACTCATTAATCCAATCATTTTTGCATTGTTTTTTTTTTATAAGTAACCATAATTAAAGTTTTTTAAAAATTATATAAAATTAAGTTAAAGTAAAAATAATTTGTTTATAAAAATTAAAATGATATATATACATAAAAAAGTATTTCAGCATTTTAAACATTTTTAAGAAAAGATTTTTTTCAATTTATTTTTATTTTTGAAAAATCATAAAGCATTATAGACTTTCACAATCTTCTGAATACTTACTATTTATATATGTATATTAATAAAAAAAATGTAATTTTTAAATTTTTAAATTTTTAATTATTAAAATGAAAATTTTGTAAATTTATTAATTTATTAAAATTAGTAAATAAAAACTTTATTATGTTATTTTTTTGTTAATTTTTTTTTTTTTTTTTAAGAAAATTTAATCTTAGAATTTATCAAAAAAAGGAACGTAAAAATTAAAAATTAGTGTTTCATATTTTTATTATTTTTAAATATTATTTAGTTTTTTTTTTTTTTTTCATTTTTGATATATAATAATTTCATATGTTTTAATATAGAATACCAAAAATAAATAAAAGATAAACAAATACTATAATTTGTTAAAAAAAAAAAAAGATAAATTATACATATTAAATGTTTTCTTTATCTTTTACTTTCTTAATATTTATATAATAAAAATTAGATTTATTTTAATTATGTAAATAGTTTAATGTTTTTTTATCTAAAAAATAAAGGAATACTTAACAAAAGTAAAAAGTAAAAACAATATATATATTTGTAATTAATAACAAAAATAATATAAAATTTTAGAACATTTATGTCTTTTAAAAAATCAAATAACTATTAAACAAATTATAATATATATATGAAAATAATAATCATATAGTTTAAACAAATATTCAACAAAAACACGATAAATAACGAATAGTATAAATCTGATATATATATATATTAAGAAAAATAATTTAAATGGAAAAGAAATACAAAATTCTATAATAGTATGGAATATTTAAATACTTAAGGCAATTTATAAAACATAAAAAAAAAAAAAAAAAATATTTTTTCTTCAATAGTTTTTTATAGAAATTTATTCCAATATAAATATGTGTCTATGAAGAATACTAGTTTTTATTTTAGAATTTCTATCATTTAATATTTTTTACAAAAATATTTCAAAATTTTTATTATATTTTAATATATATATATATATATATATATATATGAATAATATTTATAAAAAATTCCATTATGCCAAAAACTAGAATATTTACCTTAATTTTTTAAGATTTAATAATATAAATTAACTTTTTAAGCTTTAATCATTTTTATGTTTTGTAATTTCACATTTCTTCTTTTTCAAATTTTAGAATATCTAAATTTTAATCTTATGAATATATTTTATTTAAAAAATATAATTTCAATTTAAAAAAAAAAAAAAAGCCATTCTTTTATATTTAATTTGTTATTCAAGTAATATATATTTTCCTCAAAATGTACTTTTTTTATTTATATAGCATATTATGTGCAAATATAATAAATTTGTTCTTTTTTATTTTTACGATATACAAAAACTAAATTATATTTTTCTATACAATAAAAAAAAAATAATTATAATTAATATTATTCATTATAATATTTTCTATAATAATAAAAAAAAAAAATTAAAAAAAAAAACTTTTTTTTTAAATCATGAATTTTTACAAAAAAGTAAAAAATGTATTTTTTTTTTTTTTTTTTTTTTGTAATTCGTCATATATTAAAATATATTTTTTATTTATAAATATATATTTTATATTCTCTTTTGATATTTTACTTTATACAATATTTTTAATATTTTTTTATTTTATGATTTTTCATGTATCAAATATCTTAAAATTATTATTATTATGGTTAAAATTATTACATTTTTTTTTTTTTTTTACTTAATGAAAAGGAGACCTATTACATAATTACTTAGAATTTCTTAACCTCCTATATTCTTTTTTTTTTTTTTTTTTTTTTTTAACATTAATTCTTTTTTACTTTTTTTATTTTCATCTTTATATAATTACATTATCTTAGAAATATACTAGGATCTATAATCCACACATCAAATCCACTGTTACTTTTACTGATAAAAATTGACAAGAATTAATTTGATCAAGCAATTTTAAAAAATATATTTTTTTTTTTTTTTTTTTTTTAACTTGCATAAATTATAACTCAAACTATTATTTAACCATCCCATTTTGTGATTAACACTATTTTAAAGTATCATTTTGCTATTTTAAATTGAATGTAATAAAAAATCTTCATTTTTTTATATTTTCTTTATTATATTCTATATTTATCACAAATGATTATATATATAATTATAAATAATTTTTTTATCTTTCAGAAAATTTTTCATCTTACTATTTCCTAAATGTAATTTATATTATAGGTTCACTTTTTGATAATACGCTTACGTTTTCTATAATTATTTGTTCTATTTCTTCAACTAAAGCTCCTTTTTTCATAATTATATTATACTTTTTTTCCTTTTCAATATTTTTTTCCTCTCCTTGTGATGATAAATTCTCCTTAATTGGTATGCATTTTGTTAAACGATTACTACTTTTGTTTTTATTTATATGATTGAAAGAAACACCTTCAGAAAATAGTTTATTTATTCTTGTTGATTCATTTTCATTATTATTCTTAATTTTATTATTTAAAATAGTATTTAATTTTTTTTTTATGCTATAATCCTTAAAGGTTTCCATCTTTTTATTTCTGTAATAAACTTCTTGTATTTTCTTTTTATTATTTGTAGGTTTTATGCTACAATCGCTATTATTTTTGTTTTTTGATCCATTTTTATCCTTTTCAATAGAAATATAATCATAAACATTATTTTTATATGTTCTTAAAATAAGATCTCTCTTTATTTTATTATTACCATTATTAATATTATTCTTAGTCTTATTTATATTATCTATTTTCATATCAACCTCATTTTTCTTATCCATCAATTTATTGTCATTTTTTTCTTTACTTTTGTTACTGGAATTATTACTAATTTTATTTACATTTAAGTCAATACTTCTTTTTTCTAATTCATTATCATGCTCCTTTATATTGCTGTCAGAGTTTGAATTTTTAACATCTAACTTTACTGTATATTCAAATTTAGAACCTCTTATAATATCCGAATTATTCTTAATAGGAGATGTGCCTTCTACATTAGTAGATGATAACCTATATAAATTATTAGATTTATGTTCATTATTTATAGAATTAATATTATAATCTTTCAAATCATTTTTATTTGTTTTTATATTATTTTCAAGATTAAGAACATTCTCATTAGAACAAGAACGATTCATTAATGAATTTGTTTTCTTTATTATATTACCTGAAGAAAGGGCATCTTTTTTTAAAGGTGATATTATTCTATCCATGCATAACATATTCTTCTTCTCTTTTAAATGTATATCATTTTTACAATTCTTCAAATTATTCATTTCGTGTAAGCATGAACTTGTATCCTCACATGTACTATTCTTATTTAAAAATATTGGTTTCTCATATAATTTTGTATTATCATAATTTACATTATGAGTATTAATATGGCACATAGATTCAATTTTGTATAGACCTGGATATTTATCATCTAATTTATTTTTTCCTCTAATTATATCCTTACTATTTTCATTGCTTTTAGTTAAACTGTTTACTTTTTTATCATTAATTATGTTAGGAATATCACACTTTATTTTTTTCATTTTTTCTACTTTATAACTATTTTTATTGTTATTATTTAATATTTTTATATCTGGTATGCTAATACACTTATCATTTTTAATTTTTAATTTTCTAACATAATTTTTAGATATATTAATGTTATCAATGTTTGATGTATCATTTCTCAAAGAAATTCCTACACTCGAATTATTTCTTAAAATTGTATTGTTTTTAACTTTACTTTTTATATTTTGATTACATTTATTATTATATGGATGATCTGCAATATATTTTTTATCAACAGAATTATTTTCATATGAATAACTTACATAACTATCAAAACTCTTTAAATTTTCATATGAATCATAATTATCATAGAAAGTGGTTTCTGGTATTGTTTTAATAATAGATTCAATAGATGCTAATATGGTATTAATACTTTTAGATGAGTTGATAGTAGAATCAGAACTTTTTAATTTAGAAAAACTTTTATTAAAACAACATTCATCCATAGTATTAGAAGAATTTATTATTTTTATGTTTCTTAATTTGTTTGATTCTAATTCTATGTTTTCTGAATAATCAACTACTTTTTTTTTTATGTTATTTTTTAATTTTTTTTTATTATTAACAGTCAGAATGTTTCTTAATTTATTTACATTAATATTAGATATATCATAAACGGAATTTACATTTTCACGTATATTATTTTTTAATACATAAAGGAAAGAAACTAAAGCATCATTTATTTTATAACCAAATGAACTATCTAAATTATTATGTCCCCCTTCTTCAATGAGCATATAATAAGTGTTTACTTTTGTTTTTTGAATCATTTCTTCAGTTCCCTTAAAAGAAATTAATTTATCTTTCTTTCCATGAATAAAGAGAATAGGACATTTAATAAGATGAATTTTATCTATATTACAAAATAAATCATATGGTAATGTAAATTTTAGCCTCAATTTAACTCTATGAATTGAAGATAGTGGTGATTGTAAAATTAAACCTAGTAATTCTTTTTTTGTTGCTATATGAACAGAGGCTGCAGAACCCAAACTTCTACCATATGCTATTATGGAATTTTTTGGAACATTCAGATCATTTGTTAAATAGTTATAAGCTGCTTCTACATCATTATATATATTTGTTTCTGTAGGAATTCCTGTACTTTGACCATATCCACTATAATCATATGCAAACATGTTTAACTTTAAACGTTTTAATCTATTTTCAAATTGTGGAATTAAATCACCTATGTCTTCTGCATTACCATGACTAAATAAAATTGTTATATCTGCAGAATTGTTAATAAAATAGCCACATATTGTACTTCCATGTTTTGTTTTTATAAAATGCAAATTTTTTTTTTCTTTTGAATAGCTAGCTGGATGAGGTCTAAAAATTACATGATTTAGTGCATTACCCATTTTATTTAAAAAAAAAAATATATATATAAAATTAATAAATAAAAAAGCATATACACTATTTATAAATGTATATTTTAACTTGTATATAAAAATGTGTTAAAAAAAAAAAAAAAAGATTTTATATATACATATATATATATATATTAACTTATAAATTTGTTTTATAAAAAAAGAACATATGTTACATAATTAAAAAAATATGTAACAAATTATAAATAGGGATTTATATTTATGGTGTTTTAATTAAATTTCAAAAATATATTAATTATAAATTACTAAAAACATATAAGAAGTAATCAAAATTTAAACATACACCCAAATACTAAATAAAAATATTAATTTCTTTTTTTTTAACTATTTAATTAAAAATCTAAAATACAAACACTATATATGGCTTTTATTATATAATACAATTAAGCATATAATATTGTTGCATATGTTTATTTTTATACATTTATTCTAAATCCTATATTTTTTAATATATATATTTAATATATATATTTAAATTTTGAAAAATAAAAATATAAAGGTAAGATGAATGTATCTAAATAAAAATGTATTGTGTGCAAAACTTTTTATTTTTTTTTTTTTTTTTTAAATTAAGTGCACACAAAAATCCATATAAAAAAATACAAAACTTGCAATGATAATATTTTTAGAACAAATTTATGAGAAAAAAAAAAATGTATATTATAAAATATTTTTATATGAATATTTATTATACGTAATATTTAAGAAAATAATTTACTTTAAAATGTATACAATTACAAAAATGCTTTTATGAGCATTTATGTTATATGTATAAACCAAATATATGTATTTAAAAGTTTACTAAACAAAAAAAAAAAAAAAAAAAAGTAGCAAAATAAAAATTAAATTTATTAATTATGTAACAAGACTAAACATAAAATTTTATGTATAAACTAAAAATATTTTTAATTAAAATTTTCTTTGAAATTACAAAATAAAACAAGATAGACTACAATATTAAAAAGTAATAACTTTTTTAAACATTATTTAAAAAAAATTTTAATAAAATATTATATTATATATATATATATATAATAATATATATATATAAATTTATTAATGAAAAAAAAAGAAAAGAAAAAATAGTATTCTTTAATATTCTATTTAAACAAATAAACTCATAAAATTATATATAAATATATATAACTTAAAAAATTATATATTTACTACAAAAGCCTAAATACATATACAAATGTTGTTAAAACATAAAGAATAAAAACAATATATTTTTTTCATTGATTTCATGTTAAATCTATAGAAAAAAAAAAAAGAAATCAATAAAAAGGGATAAATCTTATGTATCTCATAATTATTAAAGATATTAAAAATTGAAAATTATATGAAATATTACAAAAATAAATTTATAAAAATCGAAACTGTAACACAAATTAAAAAATTTTTATAAAATTCTAAGTAAAATAAACTTTAAGAATAAAGAATAAAACTTTTAATTATTTTATATTATTTTTTTATTAATGAAAAAATTAAAAATAACATCTAGAAAATAAAAAGAATTTAAATCAAGATTATTCATATTCTATGTTTTATTTTTTAAATATTTTAAAAATATAAACAATTAAAAATTAAAAACTATATAAATAAATGAGTAAAATATAATGAATTCAAAAAAAATATAAAAATTATGTCTAAAAAGTAGTATATTAAAATAAAAAACTATATGAAGATAATAAATTAAAAAAAAATTTTATGTAAATAATAAGCATATGAAAAAATATTAAAAAAGGCATTGATGTATTAAAAATAAAAAAAAATGTTTTTAATATTATAAAACATAATTTATATAAAAACAAATAGTAAAATAGTATACATGAAAATAATTTTCTACATAGCAATTGAAAAATATATAAACTATAAAAAAAAAATTTTTGTTTTCAAAATATTTTCTTTCAATGAATAGCTAAAAAAATTAACATAAATCAATGTTGCATTCTTTTAAAAATATAATTTTGTATTTAATTTTATTATTATTATATATTTAATATTATTTTATTAATATTATTTTTTTAATAACTTTTTTTTTAAATTTTATTTTTTTTTATTTATAAACTATGTTGTTTTTTATATTTGAATTAAAATTTTTAACAATTAAATTCATAAGAAATTTTTTTTTCTTATCATGCATGTAAAAGTGCATATATAAGAAATTTAAAAAATAGTAAACTCTTTAAATCTTAATATGTTTAAACAACATTTAGAATCATTTTTTAATTAAATAAAAATATATATATATATATATATATATATATATAATTGTTGTAAAAAGTTTAAACAAAAATATAAAATTATAATTTAGTATGAGTTTAAAAAAAAAAAAAAAAAAAAAAAAAAAAAAAAGAGAAAAAAAAAAAACATAAGCATTTGAAATAATATATAAATAAAGAAAATTTAAGAAAAGGAATTAAATTTAATACTTAAGATGCAATTACAACATGATTATTATTTAATATAACTTGGTAAATCATTTTGTAAATATAAAATAATAATTATTAATATTTTTTTTTGGTTTATATGCGTATTCTTTTTTTTTTTTTTGTAAAAGAATTATATATATATATATAAAGAATATTTGTATTTTAGAAATATGTATTAAATTATAATTATTACAATATAGTAAAGGTAAATAGTTAAAACAAAAGAAAAAATAAAAATTATAAAACATATAAATTTTATTAAATAAATGCAACAGTTCATATATTTTTGCATGTCATATAATTAAAATAATATTATAAATATATTATATATTAAAAATAAAAATTATAATAATATCTTTAAAATTACATTATTTTATCATATCTCTAAGCTTTTTTTGATATGATGTTATAATTTTAACTTTGCTAATATATATAAATATTATTTGTTCTATAAAAATTTCTTAATTAACATTAAAATTTTCTTATTTCCTTTTTTTTTTTTTTTTTTTGTATATTTTGACATAAAGGATAGAAAGGAAAAATAAAATTCATAAAAATTAATTATATTTCTATTAATTTTAATACAAGTGGTATATGTATGAATATAAATAAGTATTAAATAGATTAAAAAGAGAAGTTTCAATATAAATTTCAATTTTTTTTATTATTTAAATGATACATTTTTAAAGAATATGTAGAATTATAAAAGGATAAATTACAGAATAAAACTATATCTGGAGTGAAAAATATATGTATTCCCCTATCATAATTTATGTTTTAAAAGATAAGAACATTCTTTTTTGAAATAGTTACGTAAACCCATAAAACATTTATATATATTTTTTCTTTTTATTTTATAATTTTATTGAAAATATACCTTTTAAAAACAATATAAAATTTAAAAGTTATATAGTATTTATAAATTACCATACCATTTTCTTTTTCCTTTTTTTTTTTTTTTTTTATATCCATTTATAGCATTATTGAATATTCACTATCTAAAACTATATATATCTTGTTTTCTTGAAAAATACTTAATAAAAAAAAAAAGAATAAAATTTTTTCTAAGGTATAAGAATCTACTAATAATTTAAAAAATATAGATGAAATGAGTTTGTATTTTTAGAAACATATAATTCTTTATTTTCTTTTTTCATAATGATAATTAAAAAAATAAAAAATGTACAGCAACTTTTCATTTTTGAATAATTTATTAAAAAAATAATATTTAATTTTTGATGGTAAAAATATATATTGTGTGTGTGTGTATTTTTTTATTTTAAACTATGCGTGTTCAAAATTTTTATAAAAATATTTTTCTAGCATTGAAAGAAGAAAATTTATGGTATGAATATTCTTTTAAAATATTCAATAAAACAAAAAAAACATTTTGTTTTAAATATATTTTATATAAATTGTTAAAATAAGTAAAAATTTCTTATCTATCTTATTAATATATGAATTGTATATATAAATATATTTATATACTGTATTTTTTTTTTTTTTTTTTTTTTTTTTTTTTAAAATATGTTATATAGCTCCTAATATGATTTTTTGTTAACTAATATTTTGGAATATCAATTTTTTTTTTTTTTTTTATTCTTCCTTGTATAAATATTTAACTTCCTTTTTATTTTCACTTTTTATAATATTTTATTAATTCTTATATTTTTTTTTTTTTTTTGTTGCACTCTTTATATTATTTATGAAATAAATTTATGTTGAAAAGAAGTATGATTTAAATAAACATCTTTTTTATTATTTTTTGTTAAATGTATTTGGAATATTTGTGTCCACTAAATTTTACTATTTACCCTTTTTTTATTATTTTATTAAAAAAGTTTACAATTTTATGTATTCTATATTAGATGTATAAAAAAAAAAAATGAAAACTTCAAATTTAAGTAATAGTCATCTTGGTAGTAATGATTCATTTGTAAATTATGCATCAATAGTATGGGTGGAGAAGGAAAAATTAGATTCTCTAATTCATATTCCATTGTATTCAAATATATCAAGATATATTCAAGATTTAAACAAAAATCCCAAAATACAAGAAAAAGAGAGTATTATATCGAAGATTTTTTTATTATTTGATGATAATAGCTGTAACATTGCAATTGATATCTCAGTATTAATTTAAGATTCAAAAATAAAAATAAAAATAATAATAAAAATAAATAAAATTCTATATCATTGAACAAAATAAAATATTTTATATTAAATTTTTAAATAGTCTACTAACAACTTTTTTTTTTTATTATTTATTTATAATAGATATCTTTTTATATTTTCCATTAATAATTTATTTAATTTACCTTTTTTTTTTTTTTTTTTTTAATTTTTTTTTTTTAATTTTTTTTTTTTTTTTTTTTTTTTTTTTTTTTTTTTTTTTTTTTTTTTTTTTTTTTTTTTTTTTAACAGTCATTATGCGAAATAGTAAATAATAAAATACCTCTTCTAATTTATGAACGATATTATTTTTGGAGTTTGCATTTTTTATTTGAAAAATCAAAGATAAAAAGGCAAAAAGTAAATTTACATTCGGATTTTAATATAAATGAATCCATTAAAAAATGTAACATTTTTGATGATGTCTATATGTATACTTCTATTTATAATTCAGCTTATAATAAAAATGAGGAAGAAAATAACATTAATTATAAAAATTGTGAATTAATAAAAAATAATAATAAAAATTTAAATAAAGAATTAACTATTTATAACAATGATTATATAAAATATCTATATTTAAATGATTTAAAAAATAAAAAAAATACCTTTTCAGAAATGAATATATACACAAATAATGAAATAAAATGGTATCGCTTAAAAATTAAAATAGATAATGTGGAAAAAAAAATTAAAAAAAAGAAAAAAAGCTATTTTACATGTGATACAAACAGTTATAATACCAATCATTTTAAAGAAACTTCTTTTAATTATTATAATAAAAATGTATATAACCATTTAAATGAATTTTCTTTAATTAAAGGAACAACAACAAATGAAAATTTAGATAATTTACTAAAAATTAAAAAAAATTATAATTTTAATATTTGTAACGAAGATAATAATAAAGAGGGAAATAAAATTTATAATAATAATAATAATTATAATAATAACAATAATAATAAAAAAAAAAAAAAAAATTGGTACTATTATGAGAGTTGTAGTAGCTGTAGTAGTAATAGTAATAAAATATATGTAAAGGAAGAAGTTTCAAATGAAAATTCTAATAATATATGTTTTTCAAATGAAAATTCTAATAATTTATGTTCTTCAAATGAAAAAGAAAATAATAGAAATAATAAAAGAAAAAGTGAAAATAATGGTAATGATTTAAATATGAAAAATAATAAGCAATGTAAAATGAAGAATAGTTTAAGTATATCTTACAATATTTCTAAAAAAAATTATCCATTTAAAAATAGAACAACAATGAATAATATGTATGAAACTACTCATCTAATAAGTGGAGAAGTAGAAGAAGAATATGCATCTGGTAAAAATATTAATAGTATGAAGTCATTTAATTGTGCATTATTAAAAGATAAATTATCTAACTTTGAAAAAAATGAAAAGTTGGATATTAACAATGAAATAATGAAAAACAAAGATATAAATAATAAGGAAGAAAAAATAAAGAAGAATAATGAAATAATAGAAGATAAAACAGAAAATATTATAGAAGTAAAAAATGTACATGAAAATAATTACGATGATGCAGAAATTTTAATTGAATCTTCATATTTAAATAAATTAAACAATGAAAATTATATAACATTTTTTAAAAATCTGTTTTCAAAAAAAGATAATCATGAAAACAATATGAGAAATATTATAAGATATAATCAAAATGAATCATTAGATAAATATGTAAATAAAATTTTAAAAAATATTATTAATAAAAAAAGATCACATTTAAATTCCATATCTAAAAGTTTTGAAAGAATTGAAGCTTTTTATAAACAGAATTATAAAATATTTATAATTAATAATAAAGATATTTTGAATAATAAAAAATGTTTTAAAAATAATAGTAATTTCTATATTTTGTCTGATGAAAAAAGTAAAAGTAACATTAATAATTATGACATATTTGAATTTTTTAAAAAATATATGCAAAAAGAAAAAGATGATTCGGAAGATTATCTATTAGATATCAAAAATATTACAATAAAAAAGAAAATAAATAAAGAGGATGAACATATAAAAATGAATAAAAATTTTTTAGAAAATGAAATTTTTCTTGAAAATGAGAAAAATCAAAATAAAGAAAAAGTGAATCAAGAAGATGACAAAAAAAAAGAATTAAAAGAACAAAATCAAAATTCTAGTAAAGAAAATTTTGATAGTAAAATATTATTTAAACAAGAAAATGAAAAAAATATAAATAAGGAAAACTCTATATGTAGTGAAGAAAATAATTTTGTAAAAGAATTTTTTAACATAAAACATTTAAGCAAAAGTGAAAATAAAAAAATAGAACAAGAAGATGAAGAAAAAGAAAAAGAAAAAGATGAAGAAGAAGAAGAAGAAAGGGAAGAAAGAGAAGAAGTAATTTTTTATGCGATTAATAAAATAGATAAAAGTTGTAAAAAAGAACTTAAAGAGGGTGATTATATATATATAAAATTTAATGAATCTTATGATGATTATGATAAAATAAGAATTTTAAATAAAAAAACAGTTTTATGTATTTTAATTTACTTAATGAAAAATAAAGAAATTTTAAAATTATCTAATATATCTACTTATTCTCCAGAATTATTATGGAATATATCATTACATTTTAAAAAAAATATTTTGAATTTAGAATATTATTTAGAAAAAATGTTTAAGTACTTTTTAAATGATAATGAGGAAGAATTAAGTGATATTTGTTCTTTTAGTGAAAAAAAATCGTCAAAACAAAATTCTAAAAAAGAATACCAAAAAGAAATGGAAATAATGAAGTTAAAAGATAATGTGGCCTTTTTAGACAAATTTCTTCAAAGTGTTAATGATATAAAATTAAAAAAATTAAAAATAGCACAAAGAGAATATCATGAAAAATATGAATATGATAGAACCCTTAATAATTTAAATAAACAACAACTTATAGAATTATTTATAGATAAAGAAAGCGAAATTAATATAATTCCATTATATTTATTAAAAGAAAAAAGTAGAAATATAATTTATGAGGAAAATATAAAAATGAATATGTTTGCATGTATAAAAGTAATTTTTGATAATGTAAAAGGAAGATGCATATATGCAGCCAGTGATCTAAAAAAGTTTGACTTTATTTTTGAATATGTTGGTGAGTTATTAACTCATAATGAAGCAATGAGAAGAGAAAAAATTTATATTAGAAATAAAAAGAAGGGTTGTTATATGTTTTATTTTAAACATGATAATAAAAGGTATTGTATTGATGGAACAGAAGAAAATATAGATGCAGCAATTAATAATAAAGATAAGAAATATTTTTTAAGATCTTTTGCTAGATTAGTAAATCATTCAAAAAAAAATTCTAACCTTATTCCAAAAGTATTAAAAGTATCAAATATTCTTAGACTTTTTTTTGTAGCTTCTAGAAATATAAAAGAAGGAGAAGAATTACTAATAGATTATGGTGAAAGGGATAAAGAAGTAATAAAAAATAATGCTTGGTTAAAATGTTAAAATACGTATATATGTGTAAGCATGCATAAAAAATAACAAAATGGAAAACTTTTTTTTTTTTTTTTTTTTTTTTTTTTGTTAATTGTTTAAATATTGCTTTGTTATAAGCATATTTATTTTTGCTATTTTAAGATGTATCCTCACTTTTAGCACTTAACATTTTACAATGAAATGATAACATATTTTTAACTTTTTTTTTTAAATTTTTGTCTAGATTATTTGATTATATAATATATTTTTTTTTTTTATTATTTTCTCATATTAATTTAATTTTTTTTTTTGAATGAAAAAATTAATAACTTATTTTACTATTTTTCTTTTATTCTGTTTAATTTACATAANATATATATATATATATATATATATATATATATATATATATATATATATATATATATATATATATATATATACATAAAAATATTCCAAAAATAATTAAAAAGTATTGAAGTTACAAATTAATATATATATATAATAATAATAATAATAATAATAATAATAATAGTAATAATAATTCATTATAAAAATTTTTTAATTTAATAAGAAAAACCAAATGTTTTAAAAGTTATCTGGTTTAATAGTAAAAAAAGGAACATTGCCATTTACGCTACTACTTTGTTGAGAGTATTCACAAAAATAACTATCATAAGCATTTATAATAGATTCTTTAATTGGATAATAATTATTTTGTATAATTTCAGATGCAGCTATCATTGAATCTCTTATTAATGTGCCACATAACTAAAAAAAAAAAAAAAAAAAAAAAAAAAAAATGATATTATTTTAATGTATTAAAAATAAAAATAATTATTATATATACATACTGTAACGGTGTCTGATATATAACTTGTTTCTTTTTCCTTGTCTTTTTTTTTTTTTTTTTTTTTTTNTTTTTTTTTTTTTTTTTTTTTTTTTTAAATAATTAAAAGATAAAAAAAAAAAAGAAAGATTAAAAAAATAAATATAACATTAAAATGTTGTCATGCAACATACAAAAACTATAATACAATAATATTAAAAAAAAAAAAATAAAAAAAAAAAAAATAAAATAAAATAACATAAAAAAATAATGATAATTTCAATTATATATATTAATTAAAAAAAGGAAAAAAAAAAAATTAATTTTAATTATATTAAAATAAAAAGAATATATTGGAAAAAGTAAAACAATATATATTTTTATGTTATAAAGACATAAAAATTACATGTTTTACACTATCTTGCACACAAAAAAATAATGCAAAAGTTAAGCGAAAAAAAAAAAAAATAAATAATTAAAACCAAACAATTAAAAAAAACAACATTAAAACAGAAAAAATAAAAAATAAATATATCTGTTTACTCGGACTTAAGTTTAACAAAATAAGACATTCATTAACACAAAAAAAAAAAAATTTTTTATTTTTATTGATATTAAAAAAAAAAAAAAAAAATTTAAAAATAGTTAAATA